TGTTCCCAAGCTAGACTTAGGAAATCATACTTATCTATCTTGTGACCTGGAGTGATTAAAACACTGAAATGCTGCCTTATTCTGGTCAATTTTGTTGAGATACACTGTTTGAGTAGTTAATTTGTTTAGATATTCTGTACCCAATTGCTTTCTTTTTCTGTCAGTAGTACTGTATTTGCTAAATGTCAGAATATAAAGATAAGCTTGCCTAATGTAAATTTGCACTGGGTATTGTATAATCCAAATACAACACAGAAAATGATACATTTCTGTCAGTAAAACAGCACTGCAAAGAACTCAAATCATTCTTATCTTATGATGATACCCATTCAACATAATAGCAGAAGACCAAAACCATCTCAGCAGGATTCCCCGCTCAGATGTATATACTGATTACCTGATGTTTGAGAAAGTTGTCTAAGAATTGATGAATGATCAGTTTTCCCCTAAATTTGGATTTTGTACATTGAGTGCTTCATATATAAAAAAAAGTTGCCCCACATATCTACTTCATCTTATTGACAGAAAAATGGGGGACAAAATTCTCATCTGGAATTGGGTCTTTATTGCTGACTGTGATTAAGTTTTCAGTTGTAACGACAATGAGAATAGGATCGATTAATGAGCAGGCTTGTTTGTGACTTTCAGTTCTACTTGATATTGACGCCTTTTCTGGGCTACCCCTGTGTACTTTTTATTTCCATCAGGTTCAGCTACAAATGCACGAGTTAGCCGCTCAGACCAAACAAGATGCTGTGTTGTGGGAAAATGGCACTCTTCTCAGCTTGTGCTCATCATGTCTTGCCTGAGGCGGAAGGCAAGAAAACAGAAAATAAATAATTTGTAGGACTGCAGGAAAATTACAGGATCCAGTTTCCAGATTCATATGAAATTGTCTCTCTGAATTAAACCAGATCAACCTGATATACCATTAAAAAAATATCAGCTTGAGGAGCAATAGAATCAGCAAAGGTTCTAAATGGGTTCATTCACAAGACAAAAGCATACCAGACATATGTAAGAAGTATTTCAAATAAGTTCCATCGGTCCACAGTGTATCATCCAATAAATGATTCAGGTGCGAGGAATTCAAGGTGAGACATTCAGAGGATGGAAGCTGTTAGTGCTACAGAGCACTGTATAACAACAGAAGCTAACATTGCTTTGAGAACAAAATGGGTGAGAAGCTTCAGGTTTCCTGAAAATTGATGGCATTTCAAGGGAAGTATAATGGCTCAGCCAATGGAACTCCAACATGTTGCCCAGCAGAATAATAGGTCTCTGACTTATTCCCACATTCCCTCACATAAGTTACCAATTGGGAGAAGTCATAGAAAGGGAACCAGAAAGTTAGGAGAGCTGTTGTGCACCTGGTTATAGAACAGCATTGACACAGGCCACTTCTACTTCATAAGATTATACGTTTGATTTGGATGAAGGAGACTATTTAGCCCATCTGATCTATCCTCCCAAAATATCCCACCCTACCACATTGGGAGGACGTTCCAAGGCGCTGGACAGACAGAGTTATGGACCCGAGCTGAGGGTTGGGGTGGGGGAGGGGGAGGGCAGGGGGGAAAGCAGGGAGATCGAAAGCACTGTCGAAGAGGAGGGTCTTGAGGTGGGTCTTGAAGGTGGTGAGGGAGGGGGCCAGACAGAGGGACTGCGGGATGGAGTTCCAGAGGGTGGGTGCAGAGTGTCGGAAGGCCCGCCCGGCGATAGTGGGGCAAGCAAGGCGGGGGATGTGAAGCAGGCTGGAGCCCGCTGAGCGGAGGGAGCGAACAGATAGGGGGTTAGGAGGTAGGAGAGGTCGGGGGAAGCAAGACCGTGGAGGGCTTTGAAGGTGAAGACCAGGATCTTGAACTGTATCCTCTGTGTGATGGGAAGCCAGTGGAGTTGGGCAAGGATGGGGGTGGCAGGAGAAAACATTGAAACATATTACTTTTTCATCCGGTTCTCATTTTTTTATTTACCAAATGAAAATGTATATACTGTATTACTCTCTGTACAGTTTATTACTCTCTGTCTACACTGTAATACACTTTTGTGTATACTGCAAACTCTCTGTTTCTACTCCATTCTCTGTACACTCTATAATGTGTATATATTTTGCATAAATTCTACACTATATCTTCTGTGTGATGGGAAGCCAATGGAGTTGGGCAAGGATGGGGCTGGCAGGAGAAAACAAAAAGGAGTTAACAACAACAAATTACACTTGTGTAGTGCCCTTCATGTCTGAAAGACATCCCAGTACACTCTATACTCTGTGTGTGTACACTCTATGCTCTGTGTACACACTCTCCATATACAGTATGTGTACACATACACACTCTCTGTATATATTATGTGTACCCACACACTCTCTGTATACAGTATGTGCACACACTCTCTGTATACAGTATGTGTACACGCATTCTCTGTATACAGTATGTGTACACACACTCTCTGTATATAGTGTGTGTATACATTCTCTCTGTAGTGTGTGTACTCTCTCTGTATATACAGTGTGTGTACACTTTCTCTGTGTGTATAGTGTGTATATTCTCTCTGTGTATACAGTGTGTGTACACACTCTCTATGTGTGTGTACAGTGTGTGTACACTCTCTGTGTATGTGTGTAAACAGTGTGTACACTCTCTCTCTCATGGCTTCTCCTCCTGCTCTCACTCGGTTACCTGCGGGGTACCCCAAGGATCCATCCTTGGCCCCCTCCTCTTTCTGATCTATATGCCTCCTCTTGGGGATGTCATCCGCAGACATGGTGCACACTTCCACATGTATGCAGACGACACCCAACTCTACTTTTCCACCTCTCTTTGCGACCCCCAGTCCCCTGATGTTCTGTCAGCCTGCCTGTCAGATCTCAGGAGCTGGATGAGCGCAAATTTCCTTCAGCTAAATGTTGACAAGACGGAAGCCATACTCTTTGGCACTCATCAACGTCTAAAATCTCACAGCTCTCACCTCCTCCACCTACCTGACCTCCCCCTACAACTCTCCGAACTCGTACGCAACCTAAGCATCAGGTTTGACCTCCAATTATCCTTCCTCCCCCACATCCGGTCCCTCACCAGCACCACTTTCTTCCACCTCTGACGCATCGCCCGTCTCCGCCAATACCTCACTCCAAAAGCCGCTGAAACCCTGGTCCATGCCTTTGTCACCTCTCGGCTGCACTATTCAAATGCCCTCCTCGCCGGTCTCCCCTCCACTACCAACATAAAATTCAGGTCATACAAAACTCTGCCGCCCGCATTCTTACCCGCACCAAACTCTGCTCCCCGATTACCCCAGTCCTTGCCAGACTGCACTGGCTGCCTGTCTGGTTAAGCGCTCTGAGACACCATCCGGCGTGGAGGGCACTATATAAATCCAAATTGTTGTTGTTGTCCCAGAGAGGATCGACTTCAAGATCCTCACCCTTGTCTTCAAATCCCTCCACTCCTCAGCACCCCCCGACCTCTCTGACCTCCTCTCTCCTTACAACAGTACCCATTGCCTTTGTTCCTCAGGGTCTGGCCTCCTCCTTGTCCCCCGAGTCCTCCGCTCCACCCTTGGCGGTCGTGTCTTGAGCCACTATGCCCCGAGGCTCTGGAACTCCCTTCCTCACTCCCTTCATCTCGCTCCCTCTCTTCCTATTTTCAGATCTCTGCTGAAGACCTTTCTTTTCGACCATGTCTTTGGTCACCTTCCTCCCCCTCCCCCCGGCTTGGCCCCGGGATCCGCTACTGTGAAGCGCTCTGAGACGCCGTCTGGCATGGAGGGCGCTATGTAAATCCAAGTTGTTGTTGTTGTATAGTGTATACACTCTCTCTCTGTGTATACAGTGTGTGTACACTCTCTCTGTGTGTGTATACAATGTGTATACTCTCTCTGTGTGTAGTGTCTGTACTCTCTGTGTGTGTATAGTGTGTACACTCCCTATGTGTGTGTATACAGTGTGTGTACACTCTCTGTGTATACAGTGTGGTACTCTCTGTGTGCATGTGCATACAGTGTGTGTATTCTGTGGGTATACCATGTGTGTACTCTGTGTGGATAGTGTGTGTACTCTCTCTCCGTGTTTAGTGTGTACACTCTCTCTGTGTGTATAGTGTGTGTACTCTATGTGTGTATACAGTGGGTACTCTGTGTGTGTGTATAGTTGTGTACACTCTGTGTGTGTGTATACAGTATGTGTACTCTCTGTGTGTGTATAGTGTGTACACTCTCTGTGTGTGTATACAGTGTGTACACTCTCTCTCTGTATACAGTGTGTACACTCTGTGTGTGTATATACAGTGTGTACACTCTCTCTCTGTATACAGTGTGTACACTGTGTGTGTGTATATAGTGTGTACACTGTGTGTATATATAGTGTGTACTCTGTGTGTATGTATACAGTGTATATTGTCTGTGTGTGTGTGTATAGTGTGTACTGTCTGTGTGTTACACAGTGTGTACTGTCTGTGTGTGTACAGTGTGTACTGTCTGTGTGTACACAGTGTGTACTGTCTGTGTGTGTGTACACAGTGTGTACATTGTGTGTGTGTGTGTATACAGTGTGTTCACTCGCTGTGTGTGTGTATACAGTGTGTACACTCTCTGTGTATACAGTGTGTGTACTGTGTGTGTATACAGTATGTGTACACTCTGTGTGTGAGTATATACAGTGTGTGTACACTCTGTGTGTGTGCATGTGTTTATACAGTGTGTGTACACTGTGTTTGTGTGTGTGTATACAGTGTGTACTGTCTGTGTGTGTGTACAGTGTGTACTGTCTGTGTGTACACAGTGTGTATACTGTCTGTGTGTGTACAGTGTGTACTGTCTGTGTGTGTACAGTGTGTACTGTCTGTGTGTACACAGTGTGTACTGTCTGTGTGTGTGTACAGTGTGTACTGTCTGTGTGTGTGTACAGTGTGTACTGTCTGTGTGTGTGTACACAGTGTGTACTGTCTGTGTGTGTGTACACAGTGTGTACTGTCTGTGTGTGTGTACTGTCTGTGTGTACAGTGTGTACTCTCTCTGTCAGTCAGGCGGTGCTCTCGGGTTGGCTGAGTCTCTTCTCCGCCGCCCAATCCTCTTCTCTCTCTCCTCCGCGGCCGCTCAACCGCCGCCCGGTCCCAGTCCCCGGGACAGCCCGAGGCTCGGCCCCGGATAGGCCGCCGCTTGGGCTGTGGTTGTTGTGGGGGGAGAGACGGCGGGTCCGCGGCCCTCTCGGCATCATGATACTGAGCAGAGCTGAGTACAGTGACATTGCCAAGTACCTGGAGAGGCTGAGGCCCACCAGACACTGCATGAGACTCATCATGGAGAAGTTCCCCAGGTAAGAGGGAGCCCGGCACAGGGACAGGGACACACACACACACACAGAGGGACACACACACACACAGAGGGACACACACACACACACACACACACAGAGGGACACACACACACACACACACAGAGGGACACACACACACACAGAGGGACACACACACACACACACAGAGGGACACACACACACACACAGAGGGACACACACACACACACACACACAGAGGGACACACACACACACAGAGGGACACACACACACACACAGAGGGACACACACACACACACACACACACAGAGGGACACACACACACACACACACAGAGGGACACACACACACACAGAGGGACACACACACACACAGAGGGACACACACACACACACAGAGGGACAGGGACACACACTGAGACAGAGAGAGGGACAGGGACACACACACACACACACACACAGAGGGACAGGGACACACACACACACACACACACACAGAGGGACAGGGACACACACACACACACAGAGGGACACAGACACTGAGACAGAGAGAGGAACAGGGACACACACTGAGACAGAGAGAGGGACAGGGACACACACACACAAACAGACAGAGAGAGGGACAGGGACACACACACAGACAGAGAGAGGGACAGGGACACACACACACAGAGAGAGAGGGACGGGGCACACACACACACTGAGAGGGACAGGGACACACACACAGAGAGAGGGACAGGGACACACACACAGAGAGAGGGACAGGGACACACACAGAGACAGAGAGAGGGACAGGGACACACACAGAGACAGAGAGAGGGACAGGGACACACACAGAGACAGAGAGAGGGACAGGGACACACACACACACACACACTGAGACAGAGAGAGGGACAGGGACACACACAGAGACAGAGAGAGGGACAGGGACACACACACACACACTGAGACAGAGAGAGGGACAGGGACACACACTGACGCACACACTGAGAGACACACACACTGAGACAGAGAGAGACACAGAGACACGCTGAGACAGAGACACACAGATACACACTGAGACAGAGAGAGACACATACATACACTGAGACAGAGAGAGACACACACACAGACTCACACTGAGACAGAGAGACACTGAGACAGAGAGAGACACGGACACAGAGACACACACACTGAGACAGATAGAGACACAGAGGAACATATCACTGATGAGAGACCTACAGACCAATTGGGAAAGTCACTGGAGGAAACTTGACAGAGGCGGAGAGAATGGTACCACTCAACTAACACAGTGGTTTGGGAAGGGGGCAGACAGTAGCTGCTGAATTGGGTGAAGGGACAAACCATCAACGGCCTAGACCAGGACCAGGGCAAGCGAGGGAGAGAGAGCAAGCCTGTGCTGGGATAAAAAAAATAAGGCGGACAACAGTTGGATGAGGAGAAAGGAGAGACAGAAAACAGATAGACGTGGAATGGAAGACAGACACTCAGGCAGACAAAGGCCAGACAGTGTGGAGACCAACGCACCAGGACCAGGAGAATAGATCAACGAACAAAGGATGAATGGATGGACTGGGGACAGGGACTGTAAACTGATGCACTTGGGAGAACTGGGTGGGCGGATTGAGAGGCCGAGTGAATAGTCAAGCAATTAGATGCTAACCGAGTCAGAGTTGGGGAGATGAACCAAGATAGGCGGTGATGGACATGGGAAAGAGATGGGATACGAGTCGTGAGGGAGTGACTGATGTAAGGATGGGGACCCATACAGAGATGGGCAGAGGAGTGACCGAGAGCCCGAGGAGTCAGGAAGTCTGTGTGACGGAGCCACTTACTTGAGAAGATAAAATGTGAAACGAGAGAGGAAGAGAGAGGAAGCAGATGGATTGGAGGATCGCAAGAGATGATGGACCAATTGACCCAAAGTTAGACGTTGACGTGCAGGCAGAAAGGATAGACACATTTGAATTTGGAAAAGAGGTATAAATGTGGCTTTAGAAAGGAAGCAAAGGAAGAGAGTGACCAACTTTAGCTGAGACAAAGATGGATCTAGAACAGGTAGAGGGGAGATGCTGGAAAAAAATATGAATGAGAAAAATAACAAGTTGAGCAGAGGAAAGAGAATGAAGTGACAAGATACAGGAAGGAAGTGGGTCACTTGACACATAATGGAAGTTGTTGTTGAATGAAAATAGGCTTTGTTCTGATGCATAAAAAACACAGGTTTAAACACTAAACAGTATTGGTGCAGAAGACAAAACATCACAATTTTTCATATCCACAGAAAGGGCAATCAGGCTGATTTTTCTAAAAAAAAATCAATTAAATGCAGCTAAATGTGCCTTTTCTGAATTACACAACTTGGAAGATTTTTTTAATCTGCTTCATGAATATGAATATCCTGCCATTTCCTTTAATTTTCCAACTCAGACCGTTGAGTATTAATGTAACTGTCACCATCCACACATCAGTGGTGAGATTCAGCTATTTATATAGGTAGAACATGTGAACTTCTCAACATTCCCACTTTCCAGACTTATAATCACTCTTTCACTTTCCATCCATAAACTGTAATAATTGGGTATTTGCTGCAGCCAAGATTCACTATAGGGATCTTGGTTTGAATCTGAACGCCACTCCCCACTCCCCCCACCACTCATGCCTTTAGCTGCATTGTTTTGAAGATATTCCAACAACTTGCAAGTTTATCATAAGAATATGTTGGAATCGCCTGCAGTTAGATTTATGCGGCAATCAATGATATTTGAAAGGCTTAAACACAAGTTAACATCTCTAGACCCGCACTTTTATTTACTCTGCACTTTTAGGGTTGATTTAAATCAGCATCAATTTGATGCTAAGTTGAACCGAATACAGCTCTCCCAAGTCACGTCCTGACAATGAAATGACAATCCATAGTGATCGTGCAATCGTATGACCAGGACCCCTAAGAATTTCTAGGATGGTTGCTTTTGCATATGCCAAATAAATATTGCTAGATCAAATGTCACAAATCTCATCCTTTTGAATGTAGAAGTACTTTTCAGAAATCAAGCGTGTGCAGTGTAATTTCAACATGGAGTCCTGTAGCTGAGCACTCGCCTCGCAAGCGAGAGACCTGGGTTCAATTCCTGGCCGGGCGAAATGTTGGACAAGTTTCCTTACTTCACACGCCTCTGTTTACCTAGCAGTAAGTAGGAACCCATTTGTTATTCAATTGACGTATCACTTGATTGACGTGATAAAACACTATATCAAATGCAAGTATTTATTATAACATTGTATCCAAAGTGTTGAAAATCATATTCAATTTAATGCAGAAGGCCTATGTAACTAACTCGTGAGTTTTACAACATCTTTACTTTTTTGAATGATTACCTTTCATTCCTAGCCTATTTGGGTCAAATAGAAAATAAAAAAAAACATTTCCATTGACTTTCACAAGAACTGGGATTTATTGCAATTAGAATATTTTATATCTTCCCAAATTTCTTAACAATATTGGGTTTTAGAGTAGAAAGTATTTTGAGAAATTAAGAAGATAGATTTGATGTTCTGCATGAAAGGAGTGCAAAAACTGCTTTAAATTGACAGTTTATTTTCTGCCACGTTGTCTTGTAAACTCTGACAGAAAAATAAAATGATTACAGTATATTTACTCAAAGCATAAAAGGGAAGAGTAAAAATCTAGGATTTAGTGAGCACCATACCGTGGCTATCACTTCATGACAGTGATTCATTTGCTTTAGAATAATTAGGTTACAGAATATTTTTTGTGCTAAATGTCCCATCAGGTTCAGTCTCTAGTTCATTACACTATCTACTTTCACAGAGTTCGGTTTGCTGCATCAATAATGTGCTTGTCAGTCTCCACATGTTTAATTTCTCTCCATGTACCTCTATTTTGTAGACACCCATTCATTTTGTGTGTGGCATTGCTCTGCCAATATTTCTTTGTAAATTGTTTTTAAGCTGCCTTCTCCTCCCACTTCTAATTGAGCCCTAATTCATCTTTTCCACTCAAAATGGGTTGTAACATTGTTTGGACAGATACTGGCGATTTCAGTACAAACCCTTGAAAAGGCCTCTTGAGAACATTGTTCTCAGACAAGTGTGACCAGCAGATGATGGACACTGCAGCAGTTTTGGACACCTCTTGGAGCTTGGACACGATAGATAGTAAATTTGGGTGGTGGGATTTGATGTTTCAGGCAGTGCAATACCCCGCTATCTAATGGGCCAATGTTTCAGTCCTTTTTTGATTATATTCTGGAATTATGTAAAAAACAAAACATGTTGAAATTGTGCATTCATTTACTTTCTTTTTTGAGGAACTTTTTCAATATCGGCCTCACATAATGTGCAGTGTACCTTGCCAGGAGGTTTCCCATCATTTTGGTTTCACTAAGTTTGAAATTTCTTAAATCAGGTGAAAACAAAGAGAAAATTCAAGTTTCTTATTTGTTATTTAAGTTCCCCTACTTACCATATAAATTAAAGGCATGAATTGGAACAGTAATCACAATTGACTTGAAGAACTTTAGTGCGTATAAATATTATTTTCATTGTTGTCCCTGATTAACGCTAAATAGGCCATTGTCCTTGGTGAATGACATTAGTGGGCAATGGGGCAGGCAGGCATCGTTTGCTGGTGTTTTAAAGTAGAGTCTGTCGCCATTGCAAAACCAGTGAAAAGATTCCCTGAGTTTAAAGCGATGTACTGTACTGCCAAGTTGTGAAATTGACCCTCAATCTTGGAGTGTGTTCCTGTCATTGATTTGTGTTCAAGAGTGGGGAAGTGTTGATTTTGTGTTCTTTTGCATCTTTGATAATCATCACTTTCTGCTGTGTTTTAAAGGTACTGTAACGTGAAGCAAAAACTGACCACAGTTTTGTGCTTTAAAGAAAACATTGCCCATTGAAATGCAGGAGTAACATTGAATGAGATCTTCCAATGACTTGTTAAATACACTGCCTGCTGTACTTGGAATTATAATAATCCTTACATTTCATGTAATGCC